AAGTTAGGGAGGCCAACAACACTTTGGTCTAAGCCTCCTGAAGCCAGTTGAATTTCAGTCCTTGGGTTGGGCTATAAAGTTTTGGACAGTTATTCTCATAAGGAGTTAAGTGGCTGTGTAACAGAAGCTCATCATTTAGGAAGGCCTGGAGCTCCAACGTGATGATAATTTGACATGAAGAACCCACCACTTTCTTTGGCGATTTGTTTTAATGTTTATTCTCACTGTTAAACATCTGATTATTTTCCTCACTTGGATTTCTCTGGCTTCTGCTTTCAGCTATTGGCTTCTGTTACATATTTCTCTGCTAGATTAAGAGCTCTTCAATCCTTGACAACTTCCCCCAGGAGGGAGATATCCTCTGTAATCAAGCCACTTTTTTTTAAGCAAGTCTTTATTGCACTCAACCAGCTGAGTTCTCCAAGTCTTTGCTTTGGCATTTTCCTCTAGGCCTTGCACAATTTTTTTTTGTGGCTGTTTTTCACACCACTCCAGTATTTCAACTATCTTCTAAAGCTGTGGGCCTTGAAACAATCTCCCTGGTACCGTACATAGGGATAAAACCGCATCCCTGATCAAACTGGATCAAGGCAGTAAACTTTTCTGTTCTTACAATCTCATTTTTTTTTTCAGTCCCTAGTAGAAGCTGATTTGGTTTCCAGCCGCTAGTGAGATCCTACACCCTTCAGTGCTTCGCTGGTGTGTCTTGCTCACATGCTCAGTCACACTGATCATCTAACTTAGCTTCAAAAGAACAAACCATCAAGGTCCTTTATGAAGTTTTTACAGTCATGACAGTGTGGCAAGGTCAGTGCTGTCTCGGTCTTACCTGTGACCCATAGCTGATTGACTGAGACAGTGTAATCAAACTACCATCTTGTTGTCTCAGTCTGATCATACCTAAGAAATACAGAATAACTCACTGTACATGCATGGCCATCTGAAAGGAACACTTTAATGAGCTTTTTGGAGTGGCTTCAAGCCCCGTGTTAATCCCTTTGGAAGAAACTACACAGACATTGTGTATCATTAGTCTTCTACAAGAATGCTATGCTGTAAAACAGTGCAGACTTCTAATGACTGTGTTCCCATCTAATTTCATTAACCTTTTTTTTTTTCCTGCTTGCTATCCCATTTTTTTTAGCCTAGGATCCCCTGTCAAGCAAACTAAACTGCAGTGTTGTCAAATGTCCTACTGGTGACCTACTGGGGTGTTGGCTGAATGCTATGCATTGTTCTAAGGTCCTTCCAGTGTTTCAAGATTCATTGCAACAGTATTTTGAGGCCTTATCCATCATCTCTGTAGGTCTCTTGACTGCAAGTTATCTAGGCTTTCTGATTTTCAAAACATTCATTCCGAGTCAGAGTGGTCTAATAGTCTTTTTTAGTTGTGAGATGGAGGAAGGCATATACTCACAGCAGCTTCTGCCTTCCGGACACAAATAAAAACAGTGTAAGTCTATTTGTTCTATGTCACTATAGATCATTGTCTCATCTTCATCTGCCAAGCCGCTACTTCCCTCTTCTTTATGTGTTGCATCAAAGTAGTCTGATTGTTGCTTATAACACCAGGAAGGCTGCCCTCTTCTTTTCTATCTTCAGCTGCTTTGTACATAGGTCCCATATTATAAAGGCTTTTCTCTTATTGATGCCTAGATAATTTCACTTGAACATTGCTCTTGATGAGTGGAGATAATTTTCTGAGAGACACTAAAGTAATCATATTGTCTAAAGCCTTGCATGTGAGCCAAGCTCTAGAAGAAACTCTCTTCTTCAATACAGAAGTCAAACTCTTTTATGATGTGCTTAGAATTTCATCAAAAACTGAAAACTTGGATGAGGGTGGGCACTGCAATGGTGTGGATCACTTCAGAACACTTTTCTATCCCGGTTTACTTCCTTTTAACTCAAGTTTAAGTTCACTCTCTTCAGATGCACCAAACTACTAATTCAGGTTGATATGTCTATCGAATACTTTTGTTTCTAAATTAATAATCATTCTTCTTCTACTCACTTTTTTTTTTTCTGCCAACTTGTCAAAGTTCCACACAGATTTTGCTTCTTCTAAATTCATCTACAACTCATCAGCAGTGTCTTCTGTTTGTCCCTACTGAATGCCATGCTGCTACACACAGGCTGCTATCAAGTTTCATACTACTTATCATTATCCAGCATAAGGAAAACCAAAGATCTACCTCTCCGGACACAATACTCCTTTGCTGGATTTTTTTTTTTTTTTTTTTTTAGGACTATATTGCAAGAGACTTCTACCTCTTCACAATTAAAAAAAAATAATAATTACCCATATCTGGTCCTCCAAGGCCCTCATCTGGAGGTGTACACTGGAAACAGGAGCAAACAGAAGGAGGACAGAGACAGTAAGGCTGACTGAGAGATAGATAAATCAGTAAATTTACTTTATAGACACACAACTGTTTCCTCATATATTTCCATTGTATTAAGTAGTGTACCTTCTTTTGATTTCTGAAAAGCCTCTGCCTATATTCTGCTTATTAGAACAATTAACCGAGGCTTGTACTTATCCTAAGACCTCTTAAATTAACACTCTGTATTATTAAAACTCAAAACAGTGTTTCCCAGACTATTTTCAGTGTTGACTTTTTTTTTTTTTTTACAGTGTACAAACCTCTGATACTACTGCATTTAGACAGCATGTGGGACGCAGTGTTTGGATTATTACCTGTTATTTCACTGTGCATAGGTTTGTTTGTTTGTTTTTTCCTTTTTTTCCTCCCCTATAACAAGATATAATTATCAGAGGTACACACAGAGAGAGTGTTTAAGTCCCCATTCTGGAAATAACAAAAACTGGGAAATGCCATGTGGCGTCAAGAAATGACAAACGTGGTTCATCCAGTTTTCTGTGTGAATTGTGCAGGCTGTTTAGTGACGCCTCTGGCTAAATATTTTTTAGTTTCTGTTGAAATGGAACACAAGATTATCTCCTGTCTCCTGTAACTTGCATATCAATATTTTTTCTTCCTTGGTGATGATAGTTAGGGAGTTGTTAAATTCAAAACAGGAACATGACTGCATAAATAAACCAAAGTAATCCTAACCCATAGGGAATTGGTATCCAGGTACTCAGCCAACCAAAACTGAACATGTTTATGTAAGAAAAGGACTTGTATTCCCTGTTCTTTGCCAGGCCCCTTGGTAATTAATGTCCCAGTACAAAACTGTTCATTCACTAACACAACATACATGTCATGTGTAGCTCTTTCAAAGGTTCTGAGCAGTCCTAAACTATGTAACAAGAATTACTGTGAGTCTCTCCAGGTCTAGCTGGAGACAGAAGAAGGAGTGTGTATAGAGTAGAAAGGGGAAGGCAGGCAGCACAGATTGTCCATTTCAGGTACGAGGTAGCTGAGAGCAAAGAGCCCATAGCAAATCCAAAGTAACAAACAACCTTAAACCCCAGTATGATTCTGTCTCCAAAGGCACAGGCAATGTCATGCACTTGCTGACCCATACTGAAATGGCCAGGTAGGACCACTCAAACTCACACTCAGACAATTGGCTGGTTGATAGGATTCCATAAAGGAGGAATCAAAGCCAAAAATCCCTCTGAAATGCCAGCTTCAGCTGTGCATCTCTGTTCTTCCCCCAACCTCCTAAGCCCTGAAGGGAACAGGCCAGATGGTGATACAAAGCCAAAAAGCACTGTCTGAGATGTTTGCTTTATTGCTGAGAAATCAAATCATGTTTTGAAGCACAGATTTTGTTTGGGACCAGCCAAATCTGAAGGCATTGAGGTTTGTCAGAGCCAAGCAAACTCTGTCCCAATCCTTTAGCCAAGTATTTTGCACTTCCAAAGTAATCATAGGTCTATATCCGTAAACATATATAGGGTATGTGCAGGACCTTGTAGCAGGAGTAAGAAAGGAAGGGTAAGTTGCTTACTGCGTGACCAACAATGCATACTGTCAGGCAAATATGGTCTAAAGCAAGTCTGGAATTGAGAAGTTTATCTACTGAACCTTTTTTGTTTGTTTTAAGAAGCTTTTGCCAGGGAAGATGCCATGTTACCAGGAAATGGCTTTTTGATGTGATATCTTATGTTCTGCTGAGTTCTTCTGGAAAAGTGACTGGACTGAATGCCCAGCTCCATGAAAACAATTGAGACTGGGTCTCCAGATACAAAGGAGCTGCTTCCCATCAACAGACTGCTTTTAAAAAATATTTGTGAAGGCACGGTAAGCATAAGCAACCCTGGAAAGACTATTGTTGCTAATGTTTCTGACCTGTTGACATACTTTTCTCAACATAAACCCCCTTATCACATCCTGAAGAAAAAAATCACCACATGAACAACCACTTGCTGCCCTCATATGACATCAGGCTGCTCTCCAAGCGAGACCCCTGGCACGGCGTGGTCCTACCAGGAGTCTGGCAGGGGGACATTTCCATGCTACACTTTAGATAGAATTTGGCTGAAGTAGGGAGGGAGAAATAAAGACAGGCCCACCAGCACACCTCCACTTGCTGTTTTAATTTCCTCAGTCCCACAGATGAGTGTAAACAATCACTGGCCAAGATAAGCATGGAAAGAGAAAACATACCAAAAGGCACATGGCTGTACTCAGACTGCCTGTAAATGGAGGTCACAAGACTGCTCTTAGTGTCGCTTGTTTACCTCTAGCCTGTGTGAGTACGTTGGTGAGCCCCACTGTGCTCGTATCAGCAGTTGCACACTAAGACACATGGACAGGAGTTGAGTTGACTGCCTGTGGAGGGACTGAACCGTGACACCACATCAGCCTCCCACTGCCACTGTAGTGCTAAATCCCAAAGCAGCTACAAACCCCGTGGCTGACAGGACAAATGCAGGCCATTCATATTGGAAGAGGATCTGCCTGCAAGCTGCCATCTACAGAGAGGGAAAGACATTTGCCCTGTAGAGGAGTGAGTGAAAAATGTTTGTCTTCCCATGAAAGTACTGAGTCTTATTAGCAAATAATATGCAAAGAGATTTTGTATTGATTACAGCAAAATTTACTGCTTCACAGAGTGTGAGATTTTCTCAGCTGCACATTCTCTTGGGGCACATTTAACACATTTTCAGTAAATTATTAAAGTTCTAGAGGTTGATTTTGGCATAGGGTACTACACAATGCCCAGTCATTTTGGACAAAGCCATAAAAGCCTCTGTTCAAGATCAGTGCAGTCATGATGCCCATTGGGGAATTCGTGAGGAGAAAACTGCAAGGAGACGGGAGATTCAACTGGCACTTCCTGAGTAACACTGCTTGTGGTCATGTCCTCTTGCTTGTATCTTGCTCGCAGTGAAAGAAGAGTTCTGAGCTCTTTCCTGTGTTTCACCATAACTGCATAGGTGTTGAAGTTGAAAGAGATGATTAGGTTTGACCTGCCTCATCAGGAGTCAGTGTTTCCGACAACTTTCTTTGGATAGCTTGCTCCAGTGGCTTCCTTGTCTCCTGACAATAAATTATCATTTTCACATGAACTTGGCAAATGTCAATTGCTTCCTTTTCAGTTTGGGAGGTTTTATATTCTCTTGAGAAGAGTGGCTGTTGTGTGAATGAGACCATTTCAATCCCACCGGTACCACAGAAGGGGCCAAATATGCCCTGGTACATGAAGTAGCAATGTTCACGATTCTTAGAAATAAATCTATTGCTCAACCTTGCTGACATGTCCAAGAAGCCCTGCTGGGACATTTACAGATTCTGAGATAGTAGCTTTGAGGAGATTTTCCATGAGACACTGGATAGTCAGTGAGAAATGAAGCACTGCATGACAACAGACAGTTACCTCCATCTGCTCAGCAGAGAGAACATATGAAGGTGGCCACAGGCTGACAGTAAGTTAAAGAAACAAATGACATCCATCTCCCTGTATGGTTGCCTGTCAAGTCTGTGACTTCCAACTTGCTGACTGGAGCTAACATAGTGCTGGTGGGCAGGTAGTCCCTGGAGCAATGGCTGAAATACAATGAATTTCCTAACTAGTTAGTAATTAAACAAAAGCAGCGATGCCTGTTGATCTGCTGTGTAGGGAGCAGCCTTGTCTCATTGTTGCTGCTGCAACTAGTATTTAAAGGGGCTCCAAACCAAACCCTGCTCAGTCACATTGACTGACACATCCGTAATATCCCAACCAACACAGCAGCAAATAATGGAATGACCAAGGTTGGAAGAGACCTGCAAGATCATTTAATCCAACCATCCAGCTACCACCAGTATCTCCCCACTAGACCATGCTCCTTAGTGCAACATCTAAATGTTTCTTCAACATGTCCAGGGACAGACAGTGACCCAACCACCTTCCTGGGCAGCCTGTTCCAGCATTTGACCACTCTTTTGGAGAAGAAACTTTGATCAAGAGATCACTGGCCCTAAGACAACTTCTAACATCCAGCAACTCTTTTGTTACTAATGGAAGTAATGGGAATAGGAGCAAGAGTAGCTACACAGAACATTGTTTCTCTGGGAACAAGAAAAATGCTCACACAACAGTGGTAGAAAACTATTTTGGATTCCAACAATGATGGAAACTAACATGAGTTTCGCAGAGGCATAAATTTTTAGTCCTCTAGGCTAATTACACCACTATAAAATACAGCAATAAAATATGATTGAATTGCTTGAGATGGAACACAGGGAAAGGGGAAGGCAGGAGAAGTAAAAAGAAGGGCAATTACCAGGACATTGTAATAAAAAACTGTCCGGCTTTCAAAGTTTAGCATTCCTATCTGATAGCTGATCTAGCAGCGTCAGGAGGACTCTGATCAACGTGCACAGCACTTTAAACAGTTAAGAAAGGGTGCTTGATTATGCTGTCCTTCCAGGCTACAGAGCTCCAGTAATTAAAGACATGCACACATGGGCAATCCTTAGACATTTATCAATACAGAGGGAACCACAGCTCCAGGCTCAGTCTCACCAGTGAGGTCTGAGGCTCCTGCATCCCTGGAAGCAGCAGGCTTATGCTGCCAACATCAGAACATGCTTTGATTGTGTTTCTAAAGCACAGGCTGTGCTCCAGCTGGACTCCAGCTCTTCATTTCCAGAAGGTCAGTGATAGGCTGGAAAGACTGGATGAGGCAAATACAGGCACCTTCTCACTACTCCAAATAAAGGAGCATCAATTCCAGTGAACCAAAACTACATAGAGATATGAAGAGCATATCTCTGCATACTCTATATATTCTATAGTCTCTTGATATACTCTATCTATAGAGATATCTAGAGATATCTTGTGCTCCATGCAATGAGCAGAGTGTTTTCAATCACAAAATATGAAGATACAAACTTTTTAAACAGAAAATAGTTTCTGCATCAGCATTTATCCCCTTCTGCTTCCAGTGATCATTGGTGGGAACTGACTATAAGTTAAAGAAACAGAAGACTTTCATCACTTTGTATGGTTGCTTATCGTAACATTGTTGCCATCTTTCCACAACATTCCCAGTCATCTCAGATAAACTGGAGGATGCTATGTTTGGCTTATTATTTTTTTCCCCAGGGACCACTGGCTGCTATGCGATCCTGGCACCCTGTCTTGTCTCTGAAGCCCAAACACAAAATAAGGCTGACAAGACCACTCTGAAACGCTCTGTCCTCATGCATGCAAGCAGAAGAGCTACAGACTGCAAGTGAGATGCTGTTAGCATAGCATAGCAATTGAACAGATCAATACAGTGGGAAAGGCATTTCAACAGATGTGTGATGATGAAAGGACCAGCACGATAGAAAGGTACTATAAAGAAAGAAGATTGCTCACCTGTATCTGAAGGTTCCAGGTTCACAGGGAAAAGCTTCACCAAACAGGAACCTCCAGAAAGAAAGCCCCCCTCAGTGGCAGTCAGCCCTTAAATGAGGTCTAAGAGAGGTGCAGCCAGGCTCCATCTCTTCCGGTCACACAGTTGAATTGCCTTCACCTGTGCTCCCAGGGCTGACTTTCCCCAGGTGCTCAGTCAGTGGTTCAGGCCATGACTCAACAGTTCCCATACATATAGCAACAGCACAATTAACATCCAACATTGTACACTGGAAAATGAGAGCAGGGTTAGATGGCCTTACTGAGGCAAACGTTTATAAATATCCTGCAAAGTCCCACTGGGCGTACAACTTGGTGTAAGACCCTACTGAATGTTGAAACATCAGTTTGGCTTGCCCGATGTTTAGCCTCACATCTTTATTTATGTTTGGAACCACCTTCTGCTCTCCTGAGCACAGTTAGATTTAAACCACTTCAAGAAAGAGGCAGTCAGCATTTAGGCTAGCTCTAGAAGTTACAAGGTAAGGATAAAAGCCAGGCAATGTTTGCAGGAAGAGATACTGTGCATATTTTCATTTGCTTTTGAATCGTGCTTTCACTTTACGTGCCACTTCTTTTATCAAACCTCTTGTGAGTCCAAAACTAATTCACAGAGTGGGGAGGGAGCTTACTGAGGCCAACATCTAACTCTATGTTGCAGGTCAAGCTCTGTTGTTTTCACTCTGCCTGGCCAGCCAGTAACATGGCCCTGCCCTCACAGATGTGCTATCCAAGGAAACTTCTGGGAGAATGCACCATCCAGGTCAAATCTGTATGTTCAGTGGACACATCCACACACTACTACTAAGTCAGCATTTGTTTGCATGTAAAGCATTAAGCTGAAGAAGCACCTTTTTCTTATGTTCAGGCTCAGAATGCAAAAATCTCTCCAAAAGACTTAACTGTGCCTATTAGCCTGTTCAAGATCAGTTTCCTCTCACTGATGATTTCTGTATTATAACAGTATCACTGTTGCTGCTGTGAGGTGCACAGTGCAGCAGCTGAAGACCTCATCTACGCTACTATAAACTGTAGATGTTCAGTGCTTGGGAGATCACATGCTAGAGCATGCTGCTGTGACCTGGCCACTGAATTAGTTAAAACAGGGTCTGCATTGCAACAGAAGGCAGATTGTTCAAGCTGTTGAGTTATCCTATCTCTTTTGTGCTCCAGGAAAGAGTGCTGGGTTGTATCCCACTTCCTCCAGTCAAAGACCTTGTTCTGCAATCCAGTCTCTGAACACTTATGTTTTAGCATTGCTGACCTCCAAACCCCAGAGAATTCACTCAGTGGATATTTCAAATGCTTAAGTGAGCTACAAGTAGAAGGAATGCAGGTACATGAACTTTATTCCATTCCAGGCCCCAGAATACTGACTGCTGCTGCCAGCTGACTGGCAATTTGGGTTACATCATTCAACATTGCTTCAGAAGAACAAATTCACACATTGAATTTTGGCAATGTGCGCAAAAGCCCCCTTCCAAAAGATGTTGTCTTACTAGGGAGAAAGCAGAAAGAGGGGAGAGAAGTGGTCTTCTCAGTGATGATGCATCCCATGGTCTTGAGCAATCCCTGAGCCATTATCTCAGGATCTCACATTTCAAATACTGTAATAAATAGAACCACTCCTCAAGAAACTGGCAGACTGTGGGCACCTTCCAGCATCTCTGCTGGGACTCTCAGAGCGGGCAGCCTTTGGCAGTCTTACTTTGGATGGATGAACCTTTTCCCACATCTGTAATAGCTCCATTTTTGACAGTGAAGATGTGTCTGGAGGGCCAGTATTTTCTTGTAAACATAAGCTGAATACTTTCCTTATAGAAGTGACAAATTCTCTGTTAAAAATGTATAGTCTTCCCTCTCTAATATCCTGGTGGCTGGATCCCATAATCCACCTTTACCTTGCCTGTCACCTTTCCTCACTACAGACCTGGGCAGTGCCACGAACCAACCAGAGTTTAGCAGGCAGTCAGGCTATTTTGAGACCCTTCCTCTTTCTCTCCTCTGCTTTTCTCTCCTCTGCTATGTATATAGAAGACCTCAGAGGAAGGAAACTGGCAAAGTCCGAGAGAGAAGAAAGGAAATTAAAATCTTCAGATCCCCCGGGCTAAATCCTTTCTTGCTGACAGGAGCAGGTCTGCTGTAGGACTCAGTGGGAGCTGCTCCCCCTCTGCCTGCTGTAGGATGGGATGATGTGAGACTGTGTTACCTCTGGTGGAAGCACATGTGAAATGGCTCAGGAGCAGTGTCAGAATACACTTCTGGCAGGTGAAAGCTTATCATGCCCCAGTGCTAGCATCACTTAATCTGGGGAGACATGGGGAGGAAGGAGAGCCTGTAGGACAAAAGGAGTGTCCTAAACCTACTGCTCTTGTTAGAGAAATGTGCTTGTGAACCTGAAAGTTGAGAGACATCTAGGTCTGACAGTCTGCAACAAGCACTCATCCATGGACCTGCAGAGGTAGCTTCCATTTGTCTACATAGCAACATAAGGCACTGGGAAAGACTAGCTGTTCACCACAGCACTTTCTTGGGCTTTTAGTTCTGACCTGCCACAAGCATTAAGCAGTTTGGCTGTTCCACTGCTAGCCACTACCACACCATCTGGGCACATACCAAATTATTTTTGGTGTGAAAATGCTTCTGCTTAACTCCTCCTTATTATCCCCCATCTAAGCCTGTGGCCACACTGTATCTTTTGTGATCAGCTTTGGGAGACAATACAGTCACAGAAAGGGTAAGAAAGAGCAGTGGGGGCAGAAATCCTGACTCCTTGATTGCTATTTGCTACCGCTTCTGAGAGGATACAGGACAGGCAATGTGAACTGCAGCAGCTACTCCATTTTCAGCTGAGGAGATCTCTTCCTCAGGTCTTGCACAGCGATCTCTTTGTATCCAGAGTAGGTGCAGAAGTCATCATGTTTTCTTAGCATTGATTTCTTAAAGAATGAACTTTATAGAAACCACATGTAATTGGCTTACAAACTGATGCTACCAACACCTGCCATTCCTATTTATGTCTATTTTTAATATCTCTTCACACAGTGCTGATGCAGCAGAATCTGTTCTATAATATCCTTCCTAAGAGCTGAGCTTTGCCAAGAAATTTTGCACTACCACATGGAGAAATAAGCAGATATATCTCCAGAGGAAATGGATGAAGCCTTCTGCTTATTTCTGTGTGATTCAAAAGATTCTTTCTGACTTCATCTCACACAGGTACGCCAAGTTCCTATAAAAAGAGAAGAATAACCCTGAGCAGGTTGGCTGCCCATGGACACACTCTGATGTAGGAAATGTGCCCAGGCCCCTGGCAGTGCAGTTCCTCTCAACGCATGACAGCTCTAACTGCTTGTGATTGTGAACAGCTTCTCTGTAGCAATCAGTTATTTTCCCCTTGTTGTGAATGACTGACCTCTTAAGCCATTAGCTTTAGGAATGCCCAGTTATTCAGAAAGGGTCCACACTACTTCTTCTCAACCCAAATCCAAAACCTGGGCTTCTATCCTACGCTAATCTACACCACCTTAAATAGCAGGATTTATATGAGTGTTGCTTCTATATTTTAAAACTTAGATACAAGTGAAATAACCTGTACCTGAGTTACAGTAATAGTAGCTTATTAATGCTATGTGGAAGAGATCCACACTATGCATACAAATAATCTGTCTCCTTCCTGACAAAGCAGCTTTACTGAGTTCATATTCTGCATATGGTGAAGATGAGACTGAACCCCCCTGAGCTATTTGGATCATCTGGCTCAATACATCTCAGCTATGTGATTCCTCTTGCCTACTCCTGACAACAGAGTCTATCTTGCTTGCTATCCTCACTTTGCTGCTGCAGATAATTCTACATAGCTTTCGGATATCAGCTACAGAAACCACGCCAGCTTCTCTGAAGTTGCTTTTGGTAGTAGCTTGTCACAATTCAGCGGTGACAGGAAACTGAATTTCATCCCTGCATTCTGGAGCAAGTTAAAAACACTATTTGATATTTAATGGACGTTTGTTCTTTAGCATAGAGCTGTTTACCATTGTATTTTGGGAATTCCTTTGGAGACAGCAGCACAAGGGGGTTGTTTCTGTGGAAGGCCAGAAATTCAGGGCTCCTCTTGCTTGTTTCTGCCACACCTGGAGGAAGATGCTTCTGGGCCTCATTGTGCCTGGGTGAGTCCAAATCTCTCAAGTGCCCATGCTTTCTAGTCAGGAGCTGTTGCAAGTATCCATTCTTTTCTTTCCAGACTACTTTCCACCCCTTTTCCTTCATGCTTCTAGCTGGTATTCAGACTCCCTCATATATCACCTGTGTCCAAGAGCACTTTTTAAGCAGCATCCAGGTGACCCAGGCCTCCAGCTTTGTAGAGAAGCTGGTGTAACAGCTCTATGCCTCTTGCTTCGGCTTCTTCTCTATCCAATCCTCAAAATCAAAGCAAACCTACTCAACTGTCTCTCTCCCACTGCCAATTATTCCCACCCTGGGCACACTGTGCTTCTTCCACCCTGCTCCCTGTTTTGGTAGGAAATGCTTTGCAGGGTGTGCTGCCCAGTGAATAAGGAAGTTGATCCCCCAGCGCAACTCTTCCACCAAGTGGATCAGATGACAAGAAAGAAGAAGAAATTCAGGGACCGGCACCCTGCAGAGACATAACCACTGTCTGCCCAGGTCCTCTCTTCTGCCATTGCTGCAGATTCAGGGGCAGTCTGCCACATGCTAGAGCTACAGTGAAGTATGAGATGGAAGATAATGGAGAATGAGGAGTAAGACCCCCACTCCAGCTCAGGTAAATAGATTATATGTATTCAGAGGCAGTGAAATATTTGCCTTTCAAAAGCAGAGGTGCTAGCACATTCATGCTTAAATTAGGCCCTGTTACCACACAACAGACCTTGCCAATCTTCATTACATTGCACGAGCTTCTGTTTCAGTAGTGCTCTCTGAGGCCTAGCAGGCTCTCCTGGTGTCTCCTGGCAAGCTGCTGCTTAGTGCATCATGCAGTAGTTTCATGCATGGTGG